TGAGGGTTCTAGTTTTGGGTGAGGTGGTTGCGTGAGAGAGATCAGAGACGGCAGCAAGAGAACTCAAAATTTTGTGATTGAGAGAAATGGCTGGGCGTTGGCGTGCAGGATGGTTGCGTGAAGGAGAAATGGCGAAATGGGCGACTGCCGACTGGAGAGATGGCTGCATGTCTGCATGATAAAGATTAGAGATGGCTGAAAAATTGTGCGTGGGCTAGGAGCTGTAAGAAAGAAGGAAGATTGATGAAGAAAGAGAGAGAAAAAGAGAGGTGGACTGGTGGAGTTTAATGGAAGATGACAGAACTCACAGAGGCATTGATGAAGAAAGAGAGGGAAAAAGAACAGTGGCATGGAGTTTAATGAGTAATGATGGGTGATGGCTGAGCAGCGTGAGAGAGAAATGTTTTTCATTTTTTTAATTTTTTTAAAAATAAAATACGGGTACTTGCGGGCATCCACGGGTATCACCCGATCCGCCTGTTATTTTCATGGGCGAACCGGGTATGAGTCAATTTTATACCGATTGAATAATGGTTTATCCGTATTCATCCGTTGGATACAGGTATCCGATTACCTGCAGGTACAGGTAGTGTTTTGTCAGGTCTAGCTATGCCAAACGGCACTTACGGGCAAAGGCGTAACAAATCCCTTCATTACATGGGACGTTTAGACAGCGTCACCGTATTGACGCATGATGATGCTTGACGAGAGGGGATAAGCCTTGAAGATATTCTTGGAAGGACCCACTTGAAACAAAAGAATAATGGATAAGAATTAAGAGGACCCCACATCTCCGCTTCCCCACACACACAGGAAAACTCCTACTTACGAAACGACACCCTTCCGCAGAACACGCTTACGGGATAATGCTGGCCCCACACTATTTTCATGTTACAATTTTCTAATCCCATACATTTAGTCAAACCCCATTATAATTGCTCTAACTTAAAAATTTAAATAATTTTGTCCTTCCGCTGTGGCCTTCATCCATCTTTAACATGTGACGTTAACTTATTTAAATTTATGTGTATTTCCTTAATTCCAATTATCTCCCTTTTTATCTATAATATATATAAATGTATATAAATTCAAACTCTGTGAATAATATATAAGTTTCTTGTATAAATTTTATTCAAATATCTATTATTTCTTTTTTATATATATATATAAATTGGATCTTAACTCTTAATCACAAGAAATATAATATGCAATACTTTTGTCTTTTATTGGTAGAAAAAGGCAAATTTTACCATTATAAATTTAACTTTAAAAATAATTTCAAGACTAATAATTGCTTAATAAACTTTAAAAATAATAATTATTAATTTTTTACTTTTCTTGTGTCGGTTGAGTTATATTAAAAGCACCCATCAAATTCAAACATTTTATCTAACAAGTTTACCTAAAAATTTAAACAACAATAATGTAATGCGTAAGTTGGTAACATATTTGTGGATATGTTGGGGACCCATCTAAAGATATTCATATAATTGGTATAAAGTAGGGGCCGGGTGATGGGACAAATATTGTGGTCCAATAATCAAGAATCCACATGTGAAAATAGAAAAAAAATCTAACTGGTCATGGCATTGATGTGGAATGGAACAACCAACCGAAATGCGGCCTTGCGTTGACGTGGATTGTCTCTATTGGAAGAGTGACTTGGCCAAAATATTTAAGGCAGGACAAGAAGGAGAAAGAATCAAAGAAAATGGATATGTTTTTAAATTAAAGAAAAATGAATAATTTTAAATTTATAGATATTGAATGTGTGAAAAGTCCGTACCAGATTATGGGTTTGAAAGCAATGAAAGGATTGAGGAGAGTCAGTTGGGTGATAGTGCATTTAAAGATCCCTGGCCCTGTCCCCTAGATTTTATCCTCATCGGTTTCTCCAACTACATCTATAATTCTATACCCTTTTCGTTTCTCTTATTTACGCTTCTGCCATTCTCTTTCTTTTCTTCTGATTGATTCCCATGCATTACTCTCAACTTTTATTTACTAATTAATCAAAACAATTTAACAAGGAAGGAAGACATTTTAACTACATAATAATAATAATAATATTATTATTATTATTAAAAAATTGTTAAGAATACTAATTATAATTTAAAATATATAAGCTTACATAAAATTTATTAAGTTATTGAACAAATTGTAGCTGTATGTATAAGATTTATATATATTATTCCAAAAAGTCGGGTGACTCTTCAATATAGAGATTTCAAATATCAAATCTAAACTAAAAGTGTTAATGATAAATATTTGAGATGTTTCAATGTTCAATTATTGTTTCATATGTGTGAATTGAATCAATCCTACGTTTAAGAGGGAAAAAAAAAGATAGAGATAAAAGATCAAATAAGTTGTTGAAATATCCAAAAATGCACTATGAAATGGTGCAGAGGATAAAACATTAGGGGTGTAAACGAGCCGAGTATCATCCTAAACGAGTATGATTCAGTTGAACATTAGACGAGTTTGAGTTGAGTCATGAGTCAACCTCGTCAAGAAAATTCGACTCGTGACTCGACTTGTTTATAATCGAGCCGGCCTGTGACTCGACTCGAGCTCGATTGACTCAACTTGAAAAGCTCGATTAACACGAGCTCGATTATGGCTCAATTACGACTTGTTTGACCATTTTTTTATATAACATGCAGATCTTGTTTTACATAAATCAGATTAAATTTTTGGTAAATTTGCATCTAAATCAACATAAATCACATTAAAATACATCAACATATTATACAATATAAGCAATGATTAGTAGTGTGAAAATAGAGTTAATGATTTTGGGGAAATCGCTTATGCGATTTGGGTTAATTGGGGTTAAGGGTTAATTTACGATTTTTTAAACCTTTTGCATGTCAAATTACAAGACAGACTTAAAAACATATATTTTGTTGCAAAAAAACCCTAAATGAGCCACTATTTACTCACAAGCTGAATTGAGTTGAGTTAGGATAGACTCGAACTCAGTTCGGTACCTAATTTGAGTCTTACTCAAGCTGGCTCGATTCGACTCGACTAAATTCGAGCCAAGTTCGAGTATTTAACGAGCTGAGTCAAGTGGACTCGCAAGCGGCGGCTGACACCCCTATACGACATTGAAGTATGTTAACCTTTTTTTTTCTTGAAAAATGTTGGGGACCGATTTAATTAAATGAATTTGCCTTTTGAAACTTTATCTTAATGCCTGTGCAAACTAGGAAAGGTTATTTTGGTAAATAAAACGTTGGGGGAAAAGTGAAAACATAACAAAATGGGGAAAGTAGTAAATGGTTGTCTTATCCAAAATGATGGATGCCAGCTTGGACATGAAATAGCGTGGTCGAGCAGCCGCATGCATTGTCGGTTCAGAATCTCTCTCTTCCTTATCAAATTTTTTAATTTTATTAATTTCTTGCTTTTTTAATTTAATTTAATTTAATTTTCTGTGGGCGTTAAAGTTATTTATTTAATTATTTTCATTTCACCAGCTGTTACTTATCAATTTACAGCTCATATTCTGGTACAAAGTTATCTTTCAGAAAAGGATATCTCTGTGCCCAAACATGTGGTTACCAAAAGTAAAAATTTTTCTTTTTCCAATTATAAGGAGGTAATCATTTTATTGAAGAACAATAAGGTACGTTGATTAAGATAAACCAATCCTCATCCCCTCATTTTTACTTTCCGATAAATCAAATTAAATATAAAACTAATTTATTATTTATAAAATTAAAAAAACTCCTATTCTCAATGTTTTTTTCTTCATAATAATTAAGTTAAATAAAATAAGAGTAAAATGGTCAAGGCCAATTCTATGTTTATCTTCCTGTGATAAGAAGTGTGAAGGTCAATTTTATTATATTACAAATTAATAATAAATAGCAATATAAATTAATTTATTATTTGAGGATAATGTTATGTATTGTGATAATGAAGACTTAATTTTGTTTGGTCTTTTGGGTTGCGTAAGAGATCCGTCTATGTTTGAGGTTTAGATTTACTTCAATTTTTCTAAATAAACCCTTTCAACAAAATTTACATCTTTACAGTAATAAAAAGAATTAGTGAAAATATTTAATAATTAAATTAAAATATAAAAATAATTTATTTCTAGAAAGGTACTAAATATTTATAAAATAATATTAGATTTATAACTTAATTTCATATATATATATATTTTGATAATTATGATATTCGATCTAATTTACGTATATCTTAGCTAATCTTTAAAGTCTATTAAATAAGATCCAATTATATAAATAGATGGTTCTAAAGTTTAAACATATAATATTAAGGATGAGATTACACCCCTTTAACCACCATAGGTTTGATATTTATATATTAAGTAAGCCAAAAAAAGAAAGTGAAGTGAAAAAGGCGAAAGGGGCAATGACGTAGTTAAGTTGGAATGAGAGGGGCAAATATGGAAGAACGGAGACATAAGATTATAACGTAAGACCAACTAGACTTCCAATCGAACTGTACAAACAGAGGCTTTTTCTCTCTGGATTTCTATCTATAATTTTTTTTTGACTTTTAATATTCTACGTTTAATCTCTTTCTTCTTTGTTGAATGAACAAGCACCAAACACCCAACCCAACCAAACCAAACGGATCCTTAAAAATTTTTCAATTCTCTCTTCACTTTTGTTGCTTCCGCAATAATCTCACCAGCTTTGAACCTAACTCACCTCTCCTCCATAATATCTCATATTCGACTCATCATTTCTTTCATCTCCATATATATCTTTATCTCCTAAGTTTGATTCATATGTCTTCTTTCTTTCTTCCATCTATCCGGGCTTTCATTTCCTTTCTTTCTGTGTTTTGGTGCGTTTGTTTGGTGGGAAAGTGTTGGAAGAATAATGGGCATTTTTATGGTTGATATTTGAGTTTTACTCAGCTGGTTCACTGACTTTTTCTATGTTTCTGTTGTTTTTGATGGTTTTGGCAGAGAAATCTTAATCCTTTGTGCCATCAAACAGCTTTATATAAGTTCACTTGCTGGATCATTGTGATTCTACGTTACTGCTGCTTTTTATGTCAGTTTAAAGTCTTTAAGGTAACGTATTTTAATCTACTCTCTCCCTCTCGGTTTTTCGCTTTCTTCATATATTTATATATATGCATGATGTGTATAGATGTACATAAGTTAGAGGTTTGAGATCTGGGTTTGATGTTGCTACAGTAGGTTTAAGCTTTATTGTCTCTGCAAATATTCTTCTTTCTTTCTCTATGATTGTGTGCATCGTTTTCTTTGCAGAATAATTGGCATTTGCTCTTAAAGCTCAATTTTCTTACAAAAAAAAGTTCCAGAAGCACTTATATCTTCAACAGTCTCCTGTCTCCCGTCATTTTGTTTTTATTTTTTTCTTCTCATCTCTCTCCTTTCCATATACACAGAAAAGGTTATTTTTTTTTTATTATTATTATTATTGATTTGTAACGTTTCCTAAGTTTTTTTTTGTGTTTGCTTTTGTTTTTAAGCTGAGAAAACAGTTAATGAGGCATAAAAAAAGCATCATTTAAACTGTATGGAGCTGATTATTGGAAGTAATTTATAACGTCTTGTTTGTTCTCATAGAAATTTCTCTACGCCAACAAAATCACAAAAAGAAAAAAAAAAAGATGAAAACGTATAACACAGATTATTGATATGCACATAATATAGCGATTCTGTTATAATGGGTTTATCAGTGCATCCGCTGATGCAAACAAATAGCGCTTTAAGAACTTGGAAATTAAACAAATGAATATAAGATTAGGAAAGTCTCGGCCAGTACTTACTATTTTTGTATGTTATCAGTGATGACTTATCTATTAATTCAAGGTTACGGTGATACATGTATATTTCATTAATAGAGACTTCTTCCATTTGTCTCTATTAATTTATAGATAAGTTCACTTTATCAAAATTTTGTCTTTTTAAGGAACTGTTTTTTCTTTAAGTAATGAAGCCCTCTTATAAAATATGGAAGTAGAAAACTTTGTTCTATGGAAAGATATTAACTTTTTTTTTTTCAATTTTATGCTATTTTGGATAGGCGATTTTTTTGAACAAAACAATGAGGTAAGAATGAAACAATCTAGAGGTATTACAAAATCAAACAAGTAAGCAATCACAAATATCAAACTAGTAAAGAGAGAAAAAAGACATGCTATTTAATCTAGTTCACTTAATAAACAGGTCACGTCCAGGTCTAGTAAAGTCAATATTATTAGAATATTATCTCACCTCTCTAGTTACAATGAATTTATTTGCTCTATAATTTGCTATCATACTCATACAAGAGAATAATAAGTTTACCCTGAATATGTCTGCCTAGCACCTTATTGTTGAAGTGGTTGACAACTCAACAAAGATTACGTATGTATGTCTTGCCAGATTGAATTCATTAATGAAATGTGCTCATTCTGCCGTAATTAGAAGCCAGATAAGGTGATTTAATGACTTCGTTGGAAAGGAATGATATGAAGGGATGTATACACGTGATTACGTTGTACTAATAAATATTACCTTGATTACCTTATTGGTTAAATGGATATTTGTTTTCATATCACCTTCTCCCTAGTGTTTTGTTTATAAAAAAGGCTTAGAATGATAATAAAATCCATATGACAGAATTGATTTTTGCTTTTCAAGTAATGATATTTGGTGCATATATATTTTTTGTTCCTTTTTTCTTTTCATTCAATCGTATTCCATCTCTGAATATATTTTCTTTTTATCCTTTCATTACAAGATAAGCACTATGAACAATTTTTGTCATTCTACCCTTTACATTTAGTTATACAGTTATTTATGGTTGAATTCATGAGACGGCAGTATTCTGTGCAATAATTGTGTATCGCTGACTACTTTAATCTGGTAAAGGTTCACGCTGGAACTGTTCCTTCTCCCTTACTTGTTCGTTTTGATGTGCTATTGTTATGTTTCCTTGGTCCCTTTGAAATCTGTTTATATGATGGTGAGAGCTGATTGTCCCTTCATATGGTAATTTATTTTACGCTGAGGGCTAATTTATAATAAATTATTATTGGATAATTGTTCTTTTAAGATGTTATGTTGATATAGGATAGCATGCACAAAGTTTGAAAGGCTTTTTTTTGTGAAGTATCTACAAATAATAAAGAATCTGAGGCTTCTTTCTTTCCTATTTCATAGTTTCCTTTCCTTGTTATGTTGATTGGCCTTGGGTCTTTAGTATTTATATAGCTAGACATGACATGATCCGTTTATCATAGTGGTTTTGATCATAGTCATTGCTTCACCGGCATTTGAGTATGTGTTGATTATATACTTTCTGATGGACCTGAAATATCCAATTGGTATTCACGTAAGACAGGGAAGGGGAGAAAAGGGCAAAAGGGGTTAATCACGTGGGGATAGGTGTCTTGTTAGTTATTAGAATCCTGGTGTCAGAATAAAGGGTAGTGGTAGCAGGGGTAGAGGACATCTTTGTTTTTGTGCATGAATTGAGTCTGGGAGGTGCTGGCCCTCGAAGACCAGCTAGGTGCTACTGTTTCATTCCTAAAACTGATTGTTATCCTTTTTGATTCTTATTAAGACTGAATATACAACTTTTACCCTCTTTGATATATTGCTTGTGGATTGTTGTTGGTTGTTACATTTTTTGACGATTATTAAACTGTGTTGAGATACGGTTGCTGGTGTGTTTGGTGTGGTGCTTCAGTTGAGGTCTCTGGTTTCCATCAATTTGGTATCAGAGCTCGTGGATCATCTGAAATAACGGCGGTTCAGAGGGACGTCGCCAAGGTAATTGAAGCAGTGAACTCGATGAGGGAAATTTTAATGGACATGCAGAACTGGATGCGAAGAAGAGACGAAGAGGAAGAAGAGCGACAGAGAAATTTGTTTGAAGAACTTAATCGAGATAGGGAAAGGCGCATTGAACATGGCCCTCACGGAGGACAGGGAGACTCAGTTGGGAACCAAGGTGGAGAAGGGTTGAATCAAGGCAGAGAAGGGTGGAACCGCTGAGACTTGGGTGGTCGGAAACTGGAGCTACCCCTATTTTTCGGCGAGGACCCTTACGGGTGGATGTTTCGAGTGGAGCGATATTTCGCGATAAACCAGCTCCACGACAACCCTCTGCATGGAAGGAGAAGCACTCCACTGGTACTAGTGGACAGAGTCGAGGACGGCGGCGATGACTTGGCCAGTTTTCAAGGTTGCATTGCTGCAGCGATTTAGTGGGACACAGGAGGTTAGCCCTTTAGAGCTGTTGATGTCGATACGGCAAGGAGGATTGGTGCTGGATTTTCGTCGGCGGTTTGAGGAGATCGTGACACTAACACAGAGGGAGAGATAGGACATCCTGATGGCGGCTTTCCTAAATGGGCTAAAGCCAAAAATCCGGGCAGAGATTAAAATGCAACAACCGGATTTGTTGACCCGACCCGACCCAACTCCCTGACCTAGGTGACCCTAGTGGCCCAACGTGTGGAAGAGAGAAACATGGCCTTAGAGTAAGCCCAAGGAGGCCTGGGCCGAACAGGTAAGTATCGGCATATAACTTATGGGCCCAAACCTAATTCTAATTCACCCAGACAAGATGATAATATGAAGGCCCACCCTCCAAATACAACTGACCCGTCACTCACATCAGTCAACCAAACTCAACACTTTCTCCCAAAACAAAACTCCCAACCAGAGGTTCCCATTTGAAAACCACGGCAGAACGATTTCAAACAACAGCAGAACCAGTGCATTCCGGCGAGAATTTTCGTTCAAGAAATTGACTGAGGCCGAGATACAAAGGAAAGAGAACGAGGCTTGTGTTACCGATGTGATGCAAGGTCCTCACCGGGGCATAAATGTGGAGAGAAGCAGTTCCAGGTACTTTTAGTTGATGAAGAGGAAAATGGGGAGGAAGAGATAATTAATGAAGAAGAAATAACGGAAGAGGAAGTACCCAAAGAAGCCGAGTTATCAATTAGTTCGGGAGTTGGGATCAATGTGCCTAAAACCATGAAATTGAGTGGCGAAATTAGGGGTAGAGAAGTTATGGTTTTAATTGATAGAGGGGTGTTGCATAATTTCGTAAACAGAGGCCTAGTGGAGGAGCTTCAGATTCCGGTAACAGCTACTAAAACATTTGGGGTGAGGGTTGGTGATAGCTATAATGTTAAATGTCAAGGAAAGTGTAAGGGGGTGTGTCTGAGGTTGCAGAGAGTTGACATAGTACCGAATGTTTTTCCGTTTGAGATAAGTAGTGCTGATGTTATTTTGGGTTTAGCTTGGCTGGAAACGTTGGGTGAAACAACCACAGATTGGAAGAAGCTTGTGATGAAATTTCGATGTTTGAGAACAATGGTAACACTGCAAGGAGATCCAACTTTGTGCAAAACTATGGTGTCACTCAAGGGGATGTTGAAGAGGCTACAAACCGAGGGTCCAGGATATTACATTGAGTTCGGGAATTTGCAGCTACGATCAATAGAGGAACTAGGTCATGATAAGCTGGTTAGAAATTTGTCACAACAGCATCAGGAGTTGTTTGAATCCCCACTAGGACTTCCACCGATTAGGGTACACGACCATGCAATTAGACTTGCTGGAGGAAGTCAACCCCCTAATATCAGGCCCTACTTATTATTTAAAGAGTGAAATTGAGAATATTGCTCGGGACATGTTGGTATCCGAAATTATAAAACCAAGCAAAAGTCCATACTTAAGCCCTGAGTTGTTGGTGAAGAAAAAAGATGGTGGGTGGCGATTTTGCGTGGACTACAGGGCTTTGAATAAGATTACGGTGCCTGACAAATTTCCAATTCCGACAATTGACGAATTATTTGATGAATTGGGAGGGGCTTTGGTGTTCACTAAACTCGATCTTAAATCAGGTTACCATCAAATTTGGGTAAAGGAAGACAACACTTACAAGATCGCTTTCTGCACCCATGAAGGTCACTACGAATTCCTGGTAATGCCCTTTGGATTGTCGAATGCCCCTTTAACCTTTCAAGCCGTATTTGCGGAGATTTCTGCTGGTTTTCTTCGACGACATCCTGGTCTATAGACCGGATATAATAGCCCACAGAGACCACTTGAGTATCACCTTTCAGACCTTGAAGTAGCACTAGTTAGTAATAAACAAAAAGAAGTGCATATTCGCTCAATCTCGGTTGGAGTATTTGGGCCACATAATTTCACCAGAGGGAGTGGCAGTTGACCCAGCGAAGATTGAGTGTATCCTAGCATGGCCGACACCTAAAGACATCAAGGCCTTAAGGGGATTCCTCGGGTTAACTGGGTATTACCGGAAGTTTGTTAAGGGATATGGCACGTTGGCAAGACCTCTCACTGCGCTACTTTTCAAGAACTCCTTCAATTGGACCAAATCATCACAGACTGCATTCAATGAATTAAAAAGGGTAATGACCACGGTACCAGTTCTTGCTATGCTTGATTTCACTAAATTTGTTATTATTGAAATAGATGCTTCGGGACTAGGATTAGGGGTAGTTCTGATGCAAGAAGGAAGACCAATAGCCTTTATTAGTCAAGAACTGTCATTAAGATCACAAGCCAAGTCAGTTTATGAGCGGGAGCTGATGACAATTGTTTTCGCAGTTCAAAAGTGGAAACACTACCTTCTTGGTAGACATTTCATCATCCGAACCGACCGGCGTAGTCTCCGTTATTTGAATGACCAAAGATTACATGGGGAGGAGCAACAAAAGTGGATAATCAAACTATTGGGGCTGGACTATGAGATACAATATAAACTGGGGTTAGAAAATAAGGCCGCAGATGCCTTATCCAGACGAGCTGATAGGGTGGAATGTAGCTCTATTTCTACTTGCTATTTTGGTAGCCGTAAAGAATGGGAGAAGGCTATTTAGCAAGATCATAAGTTGAGCAAAATTAGCTGTGATTTGATCGCGGACCCCCATAGCCACCCGCATTTTCACTTGGTGGGACACCAACTTTTCTATGATGACTGGTTAGTATTACCTCGCGCAAGTCCGCAAGTTCAACTCCTTCAGGAATTTCACTCATCCCCCATGGGTGGACATTCAGGAATTTTCGGAACCTACAAATGGTTATCTCAGGTTGTCTATTGGGAGGGAATGAAGAGTGACACTCTGAACTTTGTTCGCAACTGTGTTACGTGTCAGCAGAGTAAATATGACAACCTCCAACCCGCCGGGTTGCTACAACCATTGCCAATACCAACCCAAATGTGGGAGGACCCTTTTATGGACTTCATTGTAGGCCTACCAAAAGCTCAGCGAGTCGATACAGTATTAGTGGTGGTTGATTGGTTGACCAAGTACAGCCATTTCATCCCTCTCCAACATCCTTACACAGCCTAACAGGTAGCTAATCTCTTCATCCAGAACATTGTTAAACTACATGGGTTCCCAAGGACAATCGTCTCAGATCGGGACAGGCTCTTCATGAGCATCTTTTGGGGAGAGATGTTTAAATAATCAGGCACAAAGCTACACATGAGTACTGCGTATCACCCTCAATCGGACGGTCAACCGGAAGTGGTTAACCGTTGTGTTGAAACTTACCTCTGTTGCTTTGCGGGACAGCAACCAAAACAGTGGCCTAGGTGGTTAAACTGGGCAGAATACTGGTTTAATACAACCTTCAGCCGATCCTCAGGTATATCTCCTTTTCGGGCATTATACGACAGAGAACCACCAGTCCTTCTTAGATATTCTGAGCACGCATTAGTAGTGGCGACAGTTGATGAGCAAATGATCGAAAGAAATCACATCTTGGATGAATTAAAGCTTAATTTGTCCAAGGCTCAAGGGGCCATGAAGGCTTATGCGGATGGTAAGAGAAGAGATGTTCAGTTCGCAGCAGGTGATTTAGTTTACTTAAAACTTCAACCATATCGTCTTAAATCACTGGCCAGAAGACCCAACGAAAAGCTTAGCCCTAGATTTTATGGGCCTTATGAAGTGATTGAAAAAGTTGGTCTTGTGGCTTATCGCTTGCAACTTCCCACCACGGCTCGCATCCACAATGTATTCCACGTCTCCCAACCGAAGAAAGTTACATCTCAGCCAGTCACCTCGCTCCCACTTCCTCACTTTCTCGATGGAGATATGGTACTCCAAGTTGAGCCTGAACAAGCCTTACGGAAGCAAAGGTTGTTAAATGGGGACTATGAGGTTCTGATCAAGTGGAAGGGGTTACCAACCTGTGATGATACCTGGGAGCCATATGCAACCATCTGCAACCAGTTTCCCTCCTTTCACCTTGAGGACAAGGTGACACTCCTTGGGGAGGGTAATGATGGACTCGAAATATCCAGCTGGTATTTACATAATACAGGGAAGGGGAGAAAAGGGCAAAAGGGGTAAATCACGTGGGGACAGGTGTCTTGTTAGTTATTAGAATCCTAGTGTTAGAATAAAGGATAGTGGTAGGAGGGGTAGAGGACATCTTTGTTTTTGTGCATGAATTGAGTCTGGGACGTGCTGGCCCTCGAAGACCAGCCGGGTGCTACTGTTTCATTTCTAAAACTGATTGTTATCCTTTCTGATTCTTATTAAGACTGAATATACAACTTTTACTATGTATACAACTTTTACTATCTTTGATATATTGTCCGTGGATTGTTGTTGCTTACATTTTTGGACGATTATTAAACTGTGTTGAGATACGGTTGCTGGTGTGGTGATTCAGTTGAGGTCTCTGGTTTCCAACACTTTCTTACTGCAAAAGCTATACATTCATGATACACTGGTATTTAACTTATTATTAGGGTACTCTGCTTGAAACGAGTGGTTTAGTGGGTATGAAAGATGCATAGATAACTGTGAGAGGTAGAGATAACATCAGATAAGTTTGTTATATATCTTATCGTTAATGCATGAACTCGCTAGTGCAGTGTTATGGCTTATACTCTTCTATTATGCCCTTTGAATTGGGGCTGTTGCCGTCTATGACTGGTTTATTCCACAAGTGGAAATTTACATGTCTTATACTGCATTGACCAAGTATAGTATTTAGATTAGCTGCTGCTCCAAAAAAAAAAAAAAAAATTTCTGATCCATGATGACTAACTGTACATTTATGCAAGCATACCATCATTTACTTCCCATCTTTTGCGGGTCAGCATTTGCCTGCGCACAACACATATAACAGTCCTTGTCCTCCATTGCTACAGAATAGCTCCTTCAGGAATTTTTTATTGAGAAAAATACAATAGTGCTTATACTTATCAACATATTCTTTTCATGATCTCATTGTCATCATTTTCCAGCATATTGTAGATATAACGCTCCTTGTTTTCCCCTGCTACAGGTACTTGGATAGCTCCTCGAAGATCTTTTTGGTTGAAAACATATTGTTATTGCTTAAATTTGCGTTTATAAACCTGCTCTGGCAACATGGTGTCAAGATCTTGCATAAACTTGGTGGACTTAGCATCTAGTGACATGTTTAGTATCCCTCAAAATCTAAGAGTACTCCCTCGAGTGATGACTGTTCCAGGAATTATTTCTGACATTGACGATGATAATGCTTCCTCACCTATGTCCCGTAAGAAAAAGATTATAGTGGCAAATTTCCTTCCTTTACATGCTGAAAAGAATTTGAAATCTGGAAGGTGGTCCTTCAGTTTTGATGAGGACTCACCTTTTTTCCAAATTAAGGATGGCTTCTCATCTGATTTCGATGTTTTCCACGTGGGGTCCCTGAAGGCTGATGTAGATCCAATAGAACAAGAAGAGGTTGCGCAGATACTACTTGAGGAATTTAATTGTGTGCCCACATTTCTTTCTTCTGACACCCAGAAGAAGTTCTATCATGGGTTTTGTAAGCAATACCTGTGGCCACTTTTTCATTACATGCTGCCCATCTGCCCAGACCTTGGCAATCGCTATAATGACTTGCAGTGGCGAGCCTATATTTCTGCTAATAAGAAATTTGCTGATAAGGTCGTGGAGCTGTTAAATGCTGAAGATGATTATGTATGGGTTCACGACTATCACCTTATGCTTGTCCCTATATTCTTGAGGCGGCGTTTCAATAGAATTAAGTTGGGATTTTTCCTCCACAGCCCATTCCCTTCATCAGAAATATATAGGACATTGCCTACTAGAAAATTCATTTTGAAAGCACTTCTAAATGCAGATTTAATTGGTTTTCATACATATGATTATGCTAGTCACTTTTTATCTTGTTGTGGTAGGATGCTAGGCCTGCACTATGAATCACAGCAGGGTCATATTGGACTTGAATATCTGGGTCGCACAATATACATCAAAATCTTGCATGTGGGGATTCATATTGGTCGACTTGAATCTGCGTTAAATCATCCTTCATCTTCTATCAAGGTTAAAGAGATCCAAGAGCAATTCAAGGGGAAGAAAATTATTCTTGGTGTTGATGATATGGACATATTTAAAGGTATCAATTTAAAATTAGAAGCCATGGAACAGCTTTTGCAGATGCATCCTGAGTTTTGGGGTAAACTAGTGCTGATTCAAATTGTAAATCCTGCAAGGACCACAGGTAAAGATGTTGAGGAAGCAAAAAGGGGGATGTATATGATGACTGAAAGGATTAATGAAAAATATGGTTTTTTAGACTATAAACCTGTGATTTTGATTGACAGACCTGTACCTCTTCATGAGAAGACTGCCTATTATGCTTTGGCAGAGTGTTGCATTGTTAATGCAGTGAGGGATGGTATGAACCTAATGCCATACAAGTATACTGTCTGTAGGCAGGGAACTCCAAAGTCGGATGAAGCTTTGGAAATGGCCTCTGGGTGCCCACGTACAAGTACACTTGTTGTTTCCGAGTTCATAGGTTGCTCACCATCCCTAAGTGGGGCGATTAGGATCAATCCTTGGGATATTGATGCTGTAGCTGATGCACTGCATCTAGCCATCAGTATGCCTGAAGCAGAGAAGCAGTTGCGGCATGAGAAGCACTATCAATATATTAAGTCTCATGATGTTGCTTATTGGGCTCAAAGCTTCATGCAGGATTTGGAGCAAGCATGCAAAGATCACTATAGTAAACGCTGTTGGGGCATGGGCTTCGGTTTGGATTGTAGAATATTGTTCCTTTCTCCATATTTTAGGAAGCTATCTCGTGAACATATTTGTTCTGTATATAAAAGAACATCTAGAAGGGCAATATTCTTGGACTATGATGGCACTGTGGTGCACCGCTCTTCCATTGCAAACCCCCCCTCTGCTAAATTCATTTACCATCTGAACTGTATCTGCAATGACTCTAAAAACACTGTGTTCATTGTTAGCGGTAGGGGGCAAGACTCTCTGTGTAAAATGTTTTCGGAATGCCAAAATCTCGGTATCGCAGCGGAGCACGGATACTTCATGAGGTATATTTTTGTATATTAATATCTACTAGCTTCAAGATTTAGTTTCAGAAAGCCATATTTTTTCTTTGGTAAATAAGACAGCTGCCTGGTTCAAAGACAAATATTGGTCTTTTTTAGATACTGCTTTGTTTTTAGTCAAATGAAAGTAAAATTTTGCTATATGTACGAAGTGCTTATCTGTTTATTGATTCTAATTTATTTCCAACAAGTTTGATTATTTCTCATGTCGTATGGGTTTACTTTGTTTTTTCCTACAGGTGGACTAGAGATTCCAAATGGCAGATCAGTCACCGAGCTGCAGATTTTGCGTGGAAAAATATTGCAGAACCTGTGATGCAATTATATACAGAGACAACTGATGGTTCCTATATAGAAACGAAGAAAACTGCCTTGGTGTGGCACCATCAAGATGCTGCCTCTGATTTTGGATCGTGCCAGGCCAAGGAGCTATTGGATCATCTTGAAAGTGTCCTTGCAAATGAGCCAGTTGTTGTTATGAGGGGTCATGATATAGTTGAAGTGAAGCCACAGGTCTATATTCCGTCCATTATCTTCTTTCTCTCTCTCTTTTTTTTTTTTCTTTAATATTTGTTACAATGTAAGGGTTTAATATTGACCTGTTAATTTACAGGGAGTCACTAAAGGATTCGCTGCAGAGAAAGTACTTAGTTCAATGATCAGTAATGGGAAAGTTCCTGATTTTGTGCTGTGCATTGGGGATGATAGATCCGATGAGGACATGTTTGAAAGCATATTGAGCTATTGTTTATCACTTGATGCACCTCCAGAGATTTTTGATTGTACAGTTGGTCAAAAGCCGAGCAAAGCTAGGTACTACCTGGATGATATCACAGATGTTCATGCAATTATTGAAAGTTTGGGAGATGAATCCGTGTTTAAATTGTGGAGATAATAAATCCAAGTTTCTTCGCTCAATGCTCCTTGATTTTCCTGAGTAATGCTATCCGTGCTCACTTAATAAGTAGGATTAGAAGAACAAAGGATCTGCCATTGGTGGGTGGACATTTGATGCTGACTTTAACGATTCTTTCCTGTGTTGAACAAGGGGCTTCTCTCGAAGTTGGTTGTCGAGGCGAAGTTTGTGATGCAGCTCGAGGTTGTTTCTTTCTTTCTTTTCTTTTCTCTTCTAGGAATGGAAAGATAAATGGTAGGGATAAATGGCGAATTAGGTGGCTTCAAGACAAATGTAGGTTAGGTGAACAGGGAATAACATTAATCTAGTTTACAGAGAGATTCAGATGGTGATGACAGGTTTGTATACATGGAAAAGCCATGGAAGATGACTTTGTGGCCATACGAACTGTTATATTTATCTCAATTAATGTTTGGTTTGCTTTCATTTTGGGCATTGTAATTAGCATAATATGAAGTTCTATATAATTTTACAGTAATATTATTCGTATAAATTTTACATATAGAAAACTTAAGGCTTGATTATGTTAGAAGTATCGAACTATCACCAACTGTTTTTCTATTGAAGGTATCGAATTATTTTATCAATTAAATCTATTAAAGGTATTGAATTTTAAGTTTTTCTTATTTAAGGTATCAAACTTTCATATTTTTTTTTATAAGATTAAATATTGATGACATGACATTTTTTTTTTTTGTAAAAATTGCTGACATGGTAATTTTGGTGTGTTTATTGGATATTTAACGTGGTAATTAAAGTTGACTCGATATTTATAATCTCAAACCAACCATTTTTTTATTATTTCAACAAAAGTAACAAAACTCACCTAGAATAAATGAAATCTTTGAACAAACAATCATCAATATTCTCCTCCTAGTTTTCTCTTTGCAATTTTCTAGGTACTTCTTCTTCTTCTTCTGTTTTTCTATATGTTTCTCGAGAAAATCTTATATTATTGTTCTTTCTTCTTCGTTTTTGTTTATTTCTATTGTTTTGATGATTCCGGTAGGTTTTGATGCTGGGGTGAATTGTTGTGTTCGTTTTGAGAGTTTTCCTTTTTTTCTATTTTCCTGCATTTTCTCAGCAACTAAATAGTTCAGTACCTTTAATAGAAATAATTGATAATTTAATACCTTCAACAGGAAAAAAATAGTTTGGTACCTTCAATAGAAAAAAATGATAGTCCAGTACCTTCTGCTGTAACCTCTGGTGTAATTAAGCCAAAATTTAGTAAGTGTGGACAAATAATATGGTCATTAAAGTACGAACGTTATTTTATATACAAAATAATCTGAAAAGAATAAACTTGAATTGAATAATGTTTCATCGGTGTGTTTGTTTTGCTATTTTGGGTAAAATTTTTGAAATTCTACCCAAAATACATATTTATTTTCCTATTATAAAAATTCAATTATATTCTATTCAACTATTTTTAAATCTCCTAGGTTTGTTAATTTAATTAAATATCCCTAACAGGAAAAAAAGTTTAAAAATTGATAAAAACACCCCTATCCACCCATAATTGTCAGATTCCCACCACTACCTCGGGAAGGTAGTCGGAATCTGGCGTAATAGCACACTATCAGCTGGATCTGATTGCTAGTGCGTCGATCTAGCCTTTTTCGGTTAGATCTTTGGCTGTAGCTGGTCGTCAACGATGGCTATATCTTTGGCCATCATTGAAGACCAATGTGGTAAGATCTGGCATTTTTTGACCAAATCCACGGTGGATCTGGCCGAAAAATGCCATATTAACGCATGACCGGATAGATCCAGCCAGTCGTATGCCATTACAACAACTTTCGGCCACTCTCCGACGGTGGTGGTCGGTTGCCAGCTTTTAATGGGTGGGTGTGGATCTTTTGGTTAATTTTCAATGTTTTATTATAGATGTGTTTAGCTAAATTAATAAACCTAAAGAGGTATTTTTATTAATTTTCAAATCCTATCTCATAATAATCATTCAACTCAATTTTTCAAAGATCTTACCCAAAATAATAAAATAAACACACCAGATGTTGCACATGCATGGCACAACCTATAATAACCCCAACAGTCAACAACCATTTGACCGTTGTTTGGGCTTATCTATATGGTCTCCTTTCATTGTTGTTGATCTGCACCTGTCGTTCTTTTTTTTTTTGAAATGAGTAATACTACACATACATCATTTTTATACAACATTTCCCATACAACATTATGTGGCAAGATATGATTGGCTAATTTAAAGTTAAAATTAAACTTTCAACCAATCACATCTTGCCACATAATGTTGTATGAGAAATGTTGTATGGGAATGATGTATGTGTAGTATAATTCTTTTGAAATTATCACTGACCTCTTCAGAAGGCTGAAGTATCCTTCACTTAACATGGTTAAGTAAAATCTTCCCAGAAATCAAGAGGGATAATTTTTTCTACTCTATAAATGTCAAGTTCTAGGAGAGAGTAAAGGACTTTTTCCCACCCAAGGTTTGCCTCAATGAGCTTTTCCATCCAAAGTTAATATTCCGTTACTACCCACAACTGATTCTGACGGCAAAAATTCTCTTCATTACCACCATTTGAATTTTTGTTATCCTCTCTAGGAAACCCTTTTCATTTTGGTACTTGATTTTTCACCGCTTGCTGGCCACCGTAAAGTTAGGATTTCTTGTTCTTAGTTGATTTTCAGCTGATTTCGATGGCGAATATTTAATCAGTCACCACCATTTGATCCACTGGCCTCCACTCTACAAAAACTCTCTTACTTTGGCTTCTGGTAACTTGCTGAACACCGACTGAGAAAATGAAGATATTTTAGGTATTGACAGAATATAAACGATGGGTGAGAAAGTGGTATTTTGAAACTTTTTGGGTGGGAAAGTGTCGTTTACTCTCTAGGTAATTTTGAAAACTATTAAATTTCCTTATTTGAATTTCGAAGGTTTATTTTGATATTGTCAAAAGTATTTTTAATATTATCAACGAATTTGGTATGCATATTTAATAGTTTTGAAAAATTTCACTAACTTGTATTTTAATTGGGATACTATTACTCAAGGGTACACAGAAGTTTACTGAATTGTTATAAAAGGACATGAGTTCCAGACTTATCAATCAAAAGACACTTAGTGGTGTTTGATCATTATATTTAAATATGTAATTACAAAATGATACAAATGCCCTTAAATAAAAAAAAAACAAATTATTTGAATAAAAAAATTAAATATAAAAAACTAAAAGACTTTCAAACCCAAAAAATTTAATAGAATTAAAATAATTTTATTCAAATAATTTCTGAAACTTGTGTCCTCTATTGAAATTTCAGTAAACTTGTGTACTTCAGTGATAATATCCTTTTTATTTTTTTATTTTTTTTGCTTTTTTTTTTTTTTAAATTAAATTAAATATTTATACTGTAAATGTCTGTAATTAAAGCATCATCTTAAAGCAAAAGGAAAGGGTAAGTCATTTGTGATCGCTGGGTTTTTACACTGATTGAGTAGAGAGAAAGAAACGACGAGACTGCGACGATAACCTACCCTCTCAAAAATGTCTCTTCTTCACTTCACTTTCTTCACCGCCATCTTTGTCTTTGCGTTCTCCTTTCCTTTTCAGGTACATCGTCTCTTAAACCCTAATGTATTCTTTTTCTCAGTTACTCCAACTATAGAAGAAAGAACTAATCGATTTGTATTCTTTATTAAACAGGCTGGTGCAGCAAATGAGCCTCATGATGATCAGAGGCTTAAATACTTATCGTCGCGATTCGAAGCCGCTCTCGAAACGCTACAGAAGCAAATCGGGCAAGTTCGAAACTTTTTCTTCAGTTTCTTTTCCCTAACCTTATTTGTTACTGCGGAAAAATACTAGAAATATTTGATAGTCTACGATGATACTGTGTTATATGCCTACCTGAGAGTTAATGTACAAAATATTAGCGTTTGTTTTCAGTTACAGGGCAACAAGTATACATTTAACATCTTTTACTATCTTTTGTTTTCTCTTCAAACATTATCTTAAGATTTCTTATATTGTAGTAAGATGTCGAACAACTGGAAGCATGTCATTTTTAATCTATCAGAGTCTCATTGGTTTTCATTCCTCCATATTCAGCTACAATTTCAAGAGCATTGATATGCTTCGTCGTGCAATGACCCACCCTTCATTCTCCGAAGAGAATAATCGGGCATTAAGCATTTTGGGCTCCTATGTCATTGAAACATCAGTGTCCCTTCATTTCCTTCGTAAAGACATTGATATTTCACCAAAAGATCTGAACCGCCGTATTTCAGATATTTCCAATGTGGAAACTTCATGTGCAGATGATGGGTTGCGATTGGGGTTACATAAAGTGATTAGAGTTTCTTCCAGGACTAATTCTTCGATTCCTGGAGTTGTTTGTGGTGCTTACCGAGCAATCTTTGGTGCTATTGCTATTGATACTAAGAAATCTGATGATGCTGGAGATGTTTTCTGGAAGGTTCATGGTGGCGAGGTTGGAAAAGCTTTTGCTTTCTAAGTTTATATTTCTGTCATCTGCTGTTTGAAGAAGTTATGCTGTACAATATGGTGGCTTTTGTTTAGTGGCAAGTACTGGTAATGCCTAGCTATATTTTCCTAAAATAATATGACCGATGATGCTGTAAAGTTTGGTTAATTATACTGGCTAGATGCAGTTTGCTAATATGTTTGGTGAAAAATGGGCCTATTAAAACTTAAAAGTGCACTTTTCCGATGTTGCTTGATCTCTTTTATTATGCTTTGTTCTTTAGCTTTTGCTAAAAAGAAAAGTGAGTTTAGAGTTTTTGAGCTTTTTCACCTAAATCAGAAATATGCAAAAAGACCAGATGAAGCACCGTGTCAAGGAGCTAAGGCCAATCTTTGACTAAATTAATCTTTTTCAAAGAAGTTGAGATTGTGTGACCGTGGCCGAATATGGGTGAAGAAGTTGGAGATAATGCCATGTGAACTGATGAAGTCATTTTGTAAATTGCTGCAACCCTGTTGAAAGCTGAGCCTTGTTTTTATGCTTTGTGACCAAATATTTGAAGATGACACCCACAACCCAACTCCAGTTTGATTTTAGATCCTCCTCTACCAAATTGTTTGTTAAAAACCCCATACTTGACAGAAAATCTGAATTATATTAGGCTGTAGTAGGTGCACAAGCACTTGGCGAGGGTGACAAAGCCTTGAAACTAATGTATTGAGTTATACTAAGAATCAAATCAATTATATTTCTAGTTTTTTAATATACATAATGTTGACCCAAATTGACCTGCTTACCTAAACCATTTCAACATTATGTCATCAACATAACTGTTACTCTACCCACACATTGTTACAGTCAATACGGTCAATGATGGTTGAATTAATTAAATTTACTCAATGACGTCAATTGAACTTCCATTTTAGCCTTAATTATTTGATTGAACTGTAATTAAAAGATAAATCCATTGGTCTAAATTTAATGATTAGTAGGTGTCACAGCTGTCATATCCTCCTAATCAACCTTATCGAAACATCTGGACCCTTGATCACAACTACGCCACTAGGCCCCTCCCAAACCTTCATACTCGTCACAGCTGACTCGGTCTCGCCTCACAGCTAAAGCCTAACGGCTCGAACTTCTCATTCCACTTACTATAATACCCCTACCAATAATCTATAATACAAGAAGCCCGCATCTCATAGAAAAAGAGTCGTGCCCGTTTCTTGTATATGGACACGGCTGAAGAAGAATCAGCGGCCGTTATGGGAGAAACATCCAACTCTCTCCTCCGCAACACGCGCTGCTGTTTTTCTTTCCCGTGTTTCAACTCTCGTCATTCCTCCAGCGCCGGATTATCCTGGTGGGAGCGAATCCAATTACAGAACCACTGGTGGACCCCGGCGGTTACTGCCTTTCAAAGAGTGCGAGAGTGGTCAGAGATCGTGGCCGGGCCTAGGTGGAAGACTTTCATCCGGAGATTCAACAGAAACAGAAGTAATAACAGCAGTTCACATCATGCTCCTGGAAAATTCCAGTATGACCCTTTGAGTTATTCACTCAACTTCGAAGAGCACTGTAATTTCGACCACGACGATGATTTCAGCGGCTTCCGGGATTTCTCGTCGCGGTACGCTTCGAGTAAATCGCCAGCGGCGGCGGCGGCCACGACTGTAGTGGATGTTAGAGGGAAGGATGTGGCGGCGTTGGCGTGAAAAGCTGCGTCAGTTGAAGACATGAGCTGTACCGTTGAGTTGGTGTCGTTTTGTTTGTTAGTTAAATAGTCGTATTTTTGGCATTTAATTAAATATTATTAGTGGTGTAAAGATACAGGATGTCATGGCGTGTAGATGTCTATAAAGTTTGGTGTTGATATTTTTCGGTTGTTTCTTGTGGGAATAAAGGTATCTGGATAACATATCTGGATTTATTATTCTTATTTTATCATTTTTAGTGGTAAATGTTTATGAAATTATTATATAACATAAAGATATTATAGGATAATATAAAAGTGCTAGTGGAAACATTTTAATTTAGTTGGACCAATCTCTTGTATGTTAAGAGTTTTCCTCACTTTACATTTTTTATTCTTTTATAATGGAAGTGTTCCACTTAGCTTCTGTCCGCTTATTTCTATTAATATTTGAGATTTATTAAACATCGAATTAAGTAAATCACAATACTTTTAATAATTGGGGTATTCAAGTCAATTTTAATCCTTACAGTCCATTAAGCACCCAATTAACTCAAAAGACCAAATACGTGGCCTCAAGATTTAAAAAAAAAAAAAAAAAAAACTCAAGGAAAAGCCTCCAATCCCTTGTGGTTTCCTCACTTTACATTGAAGAGCTGCTAATCAACAGTTATGTTAGTGATGAAAGAAATGCAATTTATAGCTACGGTACAATGGTCGTTTTGGATAGACAGATTGGCGGTTCATTCACCAACTTTTCTGCTATTTACAGACTTAATGTTCAGTAAAATATCGCCTACAATCCATGGGAAACTCAAGAAATTTATCCTTTCTCGGCAATAAGTTGGGTGGTACGTTACATGATACCATGCTGAGGCCAACTTTTGATGTTCATTTACCTGGCAGCTACTCTCAAACCATTCTTTAGCCTCCTTCTGTACGTTCTTCACGGACAGCAAGATCCGATCTTTCATGTCTCTGTATCTGTTATTGCAGTATTGCAAATACCCTGGTTTGTTTCGCATATTACCTGTCAGTAGCTCATCCTCGGTCTTTGTCCCGTAAAAGTTCATCAGCATGCTCATGTTCTCCTCGTACATGTCTCTGTGAATTTCTGCAGTTCCAAGGAAGGCTTCAAAACCATCAACTTGGAGTTCATTGTCATAGCTTGCTACAGCAATCTTCTCTGACCAAATGGGTTCGTTGGCTCTTATTTGATTCACTGAGTTAAGGGTGGCACGGTAGAGTTTTCCAAGTACCCCAGAAGAAATGTACATGGTTTTGTCTACCCTTTCCATAAAATCTGGGAACTCCCTTGGTCTTAGAGCCAGAGGCATCTCTGCCGGTGCTCCAGTCTTCGCAAAGTCAACAGCCATTGAGTGAAGGGCTGCCAGCTGTAGACATTTTGCACTCCGGGCCTTCATTGGATCACGATCAGCCTGAACTAAATGAGCAGTAGAGATGGCACCCAGAGTATCATTGATCATGTAATCAACAAAAAATTTTTGAATTTCCTGCACATTTCATACATTTTTATAAGTTAAAACTTATGAAAGTGAAAATTAGTTAAATGACATTAAAATCTTTAACCAAGTATAAAAACTACCTCTAAAGTCACATCATGATCCGTTACTCGCGATCTCCCTCCAGTGTAATCCATAGGAGGATCAGTTTCACATGGGATGAGATCTTTATCCCAGCTTATGAAAAAGTTGTCTCCATCGAGATCTCCACCAGAGCATTCATTTGGATGAGGCCTGTGGACACAAAGTCTTAGCCACAGACTTTTATCTCTTACTACATAATTATATTAACAACATAAGAGTCAAGAATACTCCGTGACTCGACTTGTTTATATCAATCAGCCGTTCATGACTTGACTCGACTCGATTGACTCGAATGGAAAAGCTCGATACTCGATAACACGAGCTCGATTATGCTCAATTACGACTTGTTTGACATTTTTTTATATACATGCAGATCTTGTTTTACACAAATCAGATTAAATTTTTGGTATTCATCCAATCAACATAAATAATCACATCAAAACCATCAAAAATTACACAACATAAACAATGATTAGTAGTGTGAAAATAGAGTTTATGATTTGGAGAAATCGTTTATAAGATTTTGGGTTAATGGGTTAGATTTAATTTGCGATTTTTTAAATCTTTTGTATGTCAAATTACAAGATAGACTTAAAACTTGTATTTTTTACAGAAAAACTCTAAATGAGCCACTATGACTCACGAGCCGAGTTGGAGTAGACTTGAAATCGACTCGTATCTAATTCGAGTCTTATTCAAGCTGGTTCGACTTGACTAAACTTGAGTTGAGTCGAGTATTTAACAAATCGAGCCAAGTTGACTCCGCTAGCCGCTGATGACACCCCTATAACATTGAATTATGTTAACCTTTTTTTATTGAAAATGTTGGGGACCGATATTAATCGAAGGAGATTAGTCTTTTGAAACTTTATCTTAATGCCTGATAAACTAGGAGTTATTTTGGTAAATAAAACGTTGGGGGGAAAGTGAAAACATAACAATGGGTAAAGTAGTAAATGGCTGTCTTATCCAAAATGATGATGCAGCTTGGATATGAATACGTGGTCGAGCAGCCGCATGCATTGTCGGTTCAAATCTCTCTCTTACTTACCAAATTTTTTAATTTTTTTAATTTCTTGCTTTTTTAATTTAATTTAATTTTCTGTGGGCGTTAAAGTTGTTTATTTAATTATTTTCATTTCACCAGCTGTTACTTATCAATTTACAGCTCATATTCTGGTACAAGTTATCTTTCGAAAGGTATCTCTGTGCCCAAACATGTGGTTACCAAAGTAAAAATTTTCTTTTTTCCAATTATAAGAGTAATCATTTTATTGAAGAACAATAAGGTGCGTTGATTAATAACCTATCCTCATCCCCTCATTTTTACTTTCCGATAAATCAAATTAAATATAAACTGATTTATTATTTATAAAATTAAAAAACTCCTATTCTCAATGTTTTTTTCTTCATAATAATTAAGTTAATAAAAAAAATTAAAATAGTCAAGGCCAATTCTATGTTTATCTTCTGTGAGAAGAAGTGTGAAGGTCAACTTTATTATTACAAATTAATAATAAATAGCAATATAATTAATTTATTATTTGAGGATTGTTATTTTATGTGATAATGAAGACTTACTTTTGTTTGTGTCTTCGGTGCGTAGGAGATCCGTCTATGTTTAAGGTTTAGATTTACTTCAATTTTTCTAAATAAACCCTTTCAACAAATTTACATCTTTATAGTAAAAAAGAATTGGTAAATATTAATATTAAATTAAAATATAAATAATTTATTCATAAAAAAAATAATATTTTATAAGTAATGTTAATTTTACACTCAATCTCATATATATTTTTGATAATTGAAGTATTCGATCCAACTTACGTATATTTTAACTAATCTTTAAGATCGATTGAATACTAATAAACTTAACATAGATATTACACATTATCGTTAAAATAATGGTTTCAATGTTCAGAACTTATAATATTAAATAGAGTTCTTTAACCACCATAGGTTTGATATTTATATATTAAGTAAGCCAAAATAGAAAGTGAAGTGAAAAAGGCGAAAGGGGCAATGACGTAGTTAAGTTGGAAAGAGAGGGCAAATATGGAAAAACGGAGACATAGATATAAACGTAGACAACTGACTTCCAATCGACTGTACAAACAGAGGCTTTTTCTCTCTGGATTTCTATCCATAATTTTTTTTGACTTTTAATATTCTACGTTTAATCTCTTTCTTCTTTGTTGAATGACAAGCACCAAACACCCAACCCAACCAAGCCAAACGGATCCTTAAAAATTTTCAATCTCTCTTCACTTTTGTTGCTTCCGCAATAATCTCACCAGCTTTGAACCTAACTCCACCTCTCCTCCATAATATCTCATATTCTACTCATCTTTTCTGTCATCTCCGTATATATCTTTATCTCCTAAGTTTGATTCATATCTCTTCTTCTCCTTCCATCTATCCGGGCTTTCATTTCCTTTCTTTCTGTGTTTTGGTACGTTTTTTTGGTGGGAAAGTGTTGGAAGAATAATGGGCATTTTTATGTTGATATTTGATTTTTACTCAGCTGGTTCACTGCCTTTTTCTATGTTTCTGTTGTTTTTGATGGTTTGGCAGAGAAATCTTAGTCCTCTGTGCCATCAAACAGCTATATAGTGTTCACTCGCTGGATCATTGTGATTCTACGTTACTGCTGCTTTTTATGTCTTTTAAAGTCTTTAAGGTAACTTATTTTAATCTACTCTCTCCCTCTCGGTTTTTCGCTTTCTTTGTTATTTATATATATGCATGATGGGTGTAGATGTACATAAGTTAAGAGGGTTTGAGATCTGGGTTTGATGTTGCTACAGTCGTTTGAGCTCTATGTCTCTGCAAATATTCTTCTTTCTTTCCTATGATCGTGTGCATCGTTTTCTTTGCAGAATAATTGGCATTTGCTCTTAAACTCAATTTTCTTACAAAAAAAAGTTCCAGAGCACTTATATCTTCAACGTCCCTGTCTCCCCGTCATTTTTTTTTTATTTTTTCTTCTCTCTCTCTCTCCTTTCCATATACACAGAAAAGGTTTTTTTTTTTATTTTATTATTATTGATTTGTAACGTTTCCTAAGTTTTTTTTGTGTTTGCTTTTGTTTTTAAGCTGAGAAAACAGTTAATGAGGCTAAAAAAAGCATCATTTAAACTGTATGGAGCTGATTATTGGAAGTAATTTATAACATCTTGTTTGTTCTCATAGAAATTTCTCTACGCCAACAAAATCACAAAAGAAAAAAAAAAAGATGAAAACGTATAACACAGATTATTGAATGCACATATATAGCGATCTGTTTTAATGATTTATCAGTGCATCCGCTGATGCAAACAATAGCGCTTTAAGAACTTGGAAATTAAACAAATGAATATACGATTAGAAAGTCTCGGCCATTACTTACTTTTTTGGTATGTTATCATGATGACTTATCTATTAATTCAAGGTTACGGTGATACATGTATATTTCATTAATAGAGACTTCTTCCATTTGTCTCTATTAATTTATATAAGTTCACTTAATCAAAATTTTGTCTTTTTAAGGAACTGTTTTTGCTTTAATAATGAAGCCCTCTTATAAAATATGGAGTAGAAAACTTTGTTCTATAAAAGATATTAACTTTTTTGTTTCAATTTTATTCTATTTTGGATAGGCGATTTTTTTGAATACAACTGAGTAAGAATGACAATCTAGAGGTATTACAAATCAAACAAGTAAGCAATCACAAATATCAAACTAGTAAAGAGAAAAAACACATGCTTTTAATCTATTTTCACTTCAATAAACAGGTCACGTCCAGGTCTAGTAAGAGTCAATATTATTAGAATACTTATCTTCACCTCTCTAGTTACAATGAATTATTTGCTCTTATTTTTGCTATCATACTCATACAAGAATAATAAGTTTACCTGAATATTTTTGCCTCCATCTTATGTTGAAGTGGTTGACAACTCACAAAGTTACGTCCGTTTGTCTTGCCAGATTGAATTCATTAATGAAAGGTGCTCATTCTGCCATAATTAGAAGCCAATAAGGTGATTTAATGACTTCGCTGGAAAGAATGATATGAAGGGATGTATAACACGTGATTACGTTTACTAATAAATATTACTATTGATTACCTCATTGGTTAAATGGATATTTGTTTTCATTTCACCTTCTCCCTATGTTTTGTGTATAAAAAAGGCTTATAACTTATAATCCATATGACACAACTGATTTTTGCTTTTCAGTGATGATATTTGGTGCATATTATTTTTTGTTCCTTTTATCTTTTTCATTCAATCGTATTCCATCTCTAATATATTTTCTTTTTATCCTTTCATTACAAGATCACACTATGAACATTTTTCTCATTCTATCTACCATTTACATTTAGTTATTACAGTTATTTATGTTGAATTCATGAACGGCACTATCTGTCAATAATTAGTGTATCGGTGACTATTAATCTAAAGGTTCACGTTGGAACTGTTCTTTCTCCACTTAGTTGTTCGTTTTGATGTGCTATTGTTATGTTTCCTTGGTGCCTTCGAAATCTGTTTATATGATGGTGAGAGCTGATTGTCCCTTATGGTAATTTATTTATGCTGAGGGCTATTTTATCATAAATTATTATTGGATAATTGTTTCTTTTAAGATGTTATGTTGATATAGGATAGCATGCACAAAGTTTGAGGGCTCTTTTTTTTGTGAAGTATCTACAATTCATAAAGAATTTAAGGCTTCTTTCTTTCCTATTTCATTGTTTCCTTTCCTTATTATGTTGATTGCCTTAGGTCTATATTTTATATAGCTAGACATGACATGATCCTTTTATCATAGTGGTTTTGATCATAGTCATTGCTTCACCGGCATTTGAGTATTTTGTTGATTATATACTTTCTGATGACTCGAAATATCCACTGGTATTCAGTAATAGGGAAGGGGAGAAAAGGGCAAAAGGGTAAATCACGTGGGGATAGGTGTCTTGTTAGTTATTAGAATCTAGTGTCAGAATAAGGGCAGTGGTAGCAGGAGTAGAGGACATCTTTGTTTTTGTGCATGAATTGAGTCTAGGAGGTGCTGGCCCTCGAAGACCAGCTGGTGCTACTGTTTCATTCCTAAAACTGATTGTTATCCTTCTGATTCTTATTAAGACTGAATATACAACTTTTACTATCTTTGTATATTGTTGTGGATTGTTTGTTGTTGTTACCTTTTTTGACGATTATTAAACTGTGTTGAGATACGTTTGTGGTGTGTTTGGTGTGGGATTCAGTTGAGGTCTCTGGTTTCCATCAATCTGGTATCAGAGCCGTGGATCATTGGGGTATGTTACTAGAATGGAACAGGTGAAAGTGTGAGAGGAAATAAGGTGGTTAGAGGACGTCGCCAAGGTAACTGAAACGTGAACTCGATGAGGGAAATTTTAATGGACATGCAAAACTGGATGAAGAAGAGACGAAGAGGAAGAGAAGCGACGGAGAAATTTGTCTGAAGAATTCAATCGAGATAGGGAAGGCGCATTAAACATGGCCCTCACGGAGGACAGGAGATTTATTTGGGAACAGGGTGGAGAAGGGTCGAATCAAGGCGAGAAGGGTGGAACCGTCGAGACTTGGGTGGTCGAAACTGAAGCTACCCCTCTTTTCCGGTGAGGCCTACGGTGGATCTTCCGAGTAGCGATTTCGTGATGAACTAGATCCACAACGAACAGAAGTTTCGCAACAGCCTTGCATGGTAGGAGAGCACTCCACTGGTACCAATGGACAGAGTCGAGGACGGCGAATGACCTGGCCAGTTTTCAAGGTCGCGTTGTTGCAGCGATTTAGTGGACACAGAGGTCAGCCCCTTAGAGCTGCTGATGTCGATACGGCAGAAGGATCAGTGTTGATTTTTTTCGCCGCGTTTGAGAGATCACGACACTAACACAGCCGAGATAGAGGGCGTTTTGATGGCGGCTTTCCTAAATGGGCTGAAGTCATAAATCTGGCAGAGATTAAACTGCACACAAGATTTGTTGACCACCCAACCCAACTCCCTGACCCAGGTGACCTTACTAGTCCAATGTGTGGAAGAAGAAACATGCCTTGGAGACCCAAGCAGGCCTGGCCGAACAGTAAGTATGGGCATAAAACTTATGGGCCCAAGCCCAATTCTAATTCACCAACAGACAATGATAATATGAAGGCCCACCTTCAAATACAACTACCCCCCTCACTATCCACACGCAACTCCACATTTCTTCCAAAAACACACTCCCAACTGAGTTCCCATCTGAACACACGCAGCTTAGGGTCACCGATTTCAAACAACAGCAGAACCAGTGCATTCCGACGAGAATTTTCGTTCAAAAATTGACTGAGGCTGAAGACAAAGGAATGAACGAGGCTTGTGTACCAATGTGATGCAAGGTACTCACCGGGCATAAATGTGAGAGAAGCATTCCAGGTACTGTTAGTTGATGAAAGGAAAGTAGGGAGGAAGAATATTAATGAAGAAGAATAATGGATAGAGGAAGTCCCCAAGCAGTGAGTTTCAATTAGTTGATGTTGGATCAATGGGCCTAAAACCATGAAATTGAGTGGCGAAATTAGCGGTAGGGAATTATGGTTTTAATTGATAGAGGGGTCATCATAACTTCTAAACAGGGCCTAGTGGAGGAGCTTCAGATTTCGGTAACAGCTCTAAAACATTTGGGTGAGGGTTGGTGAGGCTTAATGTTAATGTCAAGGAGTGTAAAGGGGTGTTGTCTGAGGTTGCAAGAGAGTTGACACAGTACTGAATTTTTTTCCGTTTGAGATAAGTATGCTGATGTTTATTTTGGGTACGCTTGGCTGAAATGTTGGGTGAAACACCACAGATTGGAAGAAGCTGTGATGAAATTTTGATGTTTGGAGCAATGGTAACACTGCAAGGAGATCACTTTGTGCAAACTATGGTGTCACTAAGGGGGTTGAAGAGCTACAAACCGAGGGCCCAGGATATTACATTGAGTTCGGAATTGCAGCTACATCAACAGAGGAACCAGGTCATGATAGCTGTTAGAAATTGTTCAACAACATCAGAGTTGTTTGAATCCCCACAGGACTTCCACCGTAGGGTACACGACCATGTAATCAGACTTGCGGAGGAAGTCAACCACCCACATATATCAGGCCCTATATACCTTATTATTTAAGAATAAATTGAGAATATTGTCGATATGTTGGTATCCGATTATAAAACGACAAAAGTCCATACTAGCCCTAGTTTTTGGTGAAGAAAAAAGAGTGGTGGTCGATTTTGCGTGGATTACAGGGCTTTGAATAAGATTACGGTGCCTACAATTTTCAATTCGACATTGACGAATTATTTGAATTGGAGGGCTTGTGTTCACTAAACTCGATCTTAAATCAGGTATCATCAATTATTGGTAAGGAAGAACACTTACAAGACCGTTTTCTGCACCCATGAAGGTCACTACGAATTCCTGGTATGCCCTTGTTTGTGAATGCCCCTTACCTTTCAAGGCCTCTGTTGATATTTCACCGTATTGCGACGATTTCTGTTGGTTTTCTTGACGACATCCTGGTCTATAGCCGGATATATAGCCCACAGAGACCACTTGAGTATCACCTTCAGACCTTGAAGCAGCACAGTTAGTAATAACAAAAAGAAGTGCATTCGCTCAATCTTGGTTGGAGTATTTGGGCCACATAATTTCACCAGAGGGAGTGGCAGTTGACCCAGCGAAGATTGATTGTATCCTAGCATGGCCGACACCTAAAGACATCAAGGCCTTAAGGGGTTTCCTCGGGTTAACTGGGTATTACCGGAAGTTTGTTAAGGGATTGGCACGTTGGCAAGACCTCTCATTGTGCTCTACTTTCAAGAACTTTTCAACTTGACCAATCATCACAGACGCATCAATGTATTAAAGGTAATGACCACGGTACCAGTTCTTGCTATGCTGATTTCACTAAATTTGTTATTGAAATAGATGCTTAGGACTAATTGGGGGAGTTCTGATGAAAGAAGGAAGACCAATAGCCTTTATTATCAAGACTGTCATTAAGATCACAAGCCAAGTCAGTTATGAGCGGAGCTGATGCAATTGTTTTCGCAGTTCAAAATGTGGAAACACTACCCTTGGTAGACATTTCATCATCCGAACTGACCAGCGTAGTCTCCGTTATTTGAATGACCAAAGATACTGGGAAGGAGCAACAAAAGTGGATAATCAAACTATTGGGGCTGGACTATGAGATAATATAAACGGGTAGAAATATAGCCGAGATGCCTTATCCAGACGAGCTGATAGGGTGGAATGAACTCTATTTCTACTTGCTATTTTGGCAACTGTAAAGAATGAGGAGGCTATTAGCAAGATCATAAGTTGAGAAAATAGCGTGATTTGATCGCGGACCCCCAAGCCACCCATATTTTCACTTGGTGGACACCAACTTTTCTATGTGACGGTTAGTATTACCTCGCCAAGTGCAAGTTCAACTCCTTCAGGAATTTCACTCATCCCCCATGGGTGGACATTCGGAATTTTCGAACCTACAAAGGTTATCTCGGTTTTTTATTGGAGGGAATGAAGAGTGACATCTGAACTTTGTTCGCAACTTGTTACGTGTCAGAGAATAAATATGACAACCTCCAACCCGCGTTGCTACAACCATTGCATATCAACCCAATGTGGGAGGACCTTTATGGACTTCATGTAGGCCTACCAAAAGCTAGCGGGTCATCAATATGTTGTGGTTGATTTGACCAAGTACAGCCATTTCATCCCTCTCCAACATCCTTACAACCCAACAGGTAGCTAATCTCTTCATCAGAACATTTTTAAACTACATGGGTTCCCAGGACAATCGTCTCGATCGGGATCAGGCTCTTCATAGCATCTTTTGGGGAGATGTTAAAAATATACACAAAGCTACACATGAGTTCTGCGTATCACCCTCAATCGGACGGTCACGGAAGTGGTTAACGTTGTGTTGAAACTTACTCTGTTGCTTTGCGGGAAGCAACCAAAACAGTGGCCTAGGTGGTTAAACTGGGCAGAATACTGGTTTAATACAACCTTCACCTGTCCTCAGATTCTCCTTTTCGGGCATTATACGCAAGAACCACCAGTCCTTCTTAGATATGAGCACCATAGTAGTGGCGCAGTTGATGAGCAAATGATCGAAAGAAATCACATCTTGATAATTAAAGCTTAATTTGTCCAAGGCTCAAGGGGCATGAAGGCTTATGCGATGTAAGAGAAGGATGTTCATTCGACACAGTGATTTAGTTTACTTAAAACTTCAACCATACGTCTTAAATCACTGGCCAGAAGACCACAAAAAGCTAGCCCTAGATTTATGGGCCTTATGAAGTGTTGAAAAGTTGGTCTTTGGCTTACCGCTTGCAACTTCCCACCACGGCTCACATCCACATGTTCCCACGTCTCCCAACGAAGAGAGTTACATCTCAGCCAGTCACCTCCTCCCACTTCCTCCACTTTCCCGATGGAGATTGGTACTCCAAGTTAGCCAGAACAAGCCTTACAGAAGCAAAGGTTGTTAAATGGGACTATGAGTTTCTGATCAAGTGAAGGTTACCAACCTTGTGAATACTTGGGAGCCATATGCAACCATCTGCAACCAGTTTCCCCTTTCACCTTGAGGACAAGGTGACACTCCTTGGGGAGGGTAATGATGACCCGAAATATCCACTGGTATTCACTAAGATAGAGAAGGGGGAAGAGGGAAAAAGGGGTAAATCACTGGGGACAGGTGTCTTGTTAGTTATTAGAATCCTGGTGTAGAATAAGGGTAGTGGTAGAGGGGTAGAGGACATCTTTGTTTTTGTGCATGAATTGAGTCTGGGAGGTGTTGGCCTCTGAAACCAGTGGGTGCTACTGTTTCATTCCTAAAACTGATTGTTATCCTTTCTGATTCTTATTAAGACTGAATATACAACTTTTACTATCTTATATCTTGATATATTGTGGATTGTTGTTGCTTGTTACATTTTTTGACGATTATAAACTGTGTTGAATACGTTGCTGGTGTGGGTGTGATTCGGTTGAGGTCCTCTGGTTTCCACACTTTCTACTGCAAAGCTATACATTCATGATACACTGGTATTTAACTTATTATTAGGGTCCTCTGCTTAAACGAGTGGTTTAGTGGTATGAAAATGCTAGATAACTGTGGAGGTAGAGATAACATCGATAAGTTTTGTTATATATCTTTCGTTAATGCATGAACTCGCTAGTGCAGTGTTATGCTTATACTCTCCTATTATGCCCTTTGAATTGGGGCTGTTGTGCTATGACTGGTTTATTCACAAGTGGAAATTTACAATGACCGAGTAGTATATTAGATTGTTGCTGCTCCAAAAAAAAAAAAAAAAAAAAATTTCTGTCCATGATACTACTGAACATTTATGCAAGCATACCATCATTTACTTCCCATCTTTGGCGGGTCAGCATTTGCCTGCGCAAACAATATAACATCCTTGTCCTCCATTGACAGAATAGCTCCTTCAGGAATTTTTAATTGAGAAAATACAATATGCTTATACTTATCAACATATTCTTTTCATGATCTCATTGTCATCATTTTCCGCATATTGTAATAATAACGCTCCTTGTTTCCCCTGCTACAGGTACTTGGATAGCTCCTCGAAGATCTTTTTGGTTAAAACATATTGTTATTGCTTAAATTTGCTTTATAACCTGCTCTGGCAACATGGTGTCAAGATCTTGCTAAACTGTTGGACTTAGCATCTAGTGACATGTTTAGTATCCCTCAAATCTAAGAGTACTCCCTCGAGTGATGACTGTCCAGGAATTATTCTGACATTGGATGAGTGCTCCTCACCTATGTCCCGTAAGAAAAAGATTATAGTGCGCATTTTCCTTCCTTTACATGCTGAAAAGAATTTGAAATCTGGAAGGTGGTCCTTCAGTTTTGATGAGATCACCTTTTTTCCAAATTAGATGGCTTCTCATCTGATTTCGATGTTTTCATGGTGGGTCCCTGAGGGCTGATGTAGATCCAATAGAACAAGAAGAGGTTGCGCAGATACTACTTGAGTTTAATTGTGTGCCCACATTTCTTTCTTCTGACACCCAGAAGAAGTTCTATCATGGTTTTTGTAAGCAATACCTGTGGCCACTTTTTCATTACATGCTGCCCTTCTGCCCAGACCTTGGCAATCGCTATAAGGACTTGCAGTGGCGAGCCTATATTTCTGCTAATAAGAATTTGCTGATGGGTCGTGGAGCTGTTAAATGCTGAAGATGATTATGTTGGGTTCACGACTATCACCTTATGCTTGTCCCTATATTCTTGAGGAGGCGTTTCAATAGAATTAAGTTGGGATTTTTCCTCACAGCCCATTCCCTTCATCAGAATATATAGGACATTGCCTACTGAAAATTCATTTGAAAGCACTTCTAAATGCAGATTTAATTGGTTTTCATACATATGATTATGCAGTCACTTTTTATCTTGTTGTGGTAGGATGCTAGGCCTGCACTACGATCACAGCAGGGTCATATTGGACTTGAATATCTGGGTCGCACAATATACATCAAAATCTTGCATGTGGGGATTCATATTGGTCGACTTGAATCTGCTTAAATCATCCTTCATCTTCTATCAAGGTTAAAGAGATCCAAGAGCAATTCAAGGGGAGAAATTATTCTTGTGTTTGATGATGGACATATTTAAAGTTATCATTTAAATTAGAAGCATGGAACAGCTTTTGCAGATGCATCCTGAGTTTTGGGGTAAACTAGTGCTGATTCAAATTGTAAATCCTGCAAGCCCACAGGTAAAATGTTGAGGAGCAAAAGGAGGATGTTATAATGACTGAAAGGATTAATGAAAAATATGGTTTTTTAGCTAAACCTGTGATTTGATTGACAGACCTGTACCTCTTCATGAGAAGACTGCCTATTATGCTTTGGCAGAGTGTTGCTTGTTAATGCAGTGAGGGATGGTATGACCTAATGCCATACAGTATACTGTCTGTAGGCAGGGACTCCAAAGTGGATGAAGCTTTGAAATGGCCTCTGGGTGCCCACGTACAAGTCACTTGTTTTTCCGAGTTCATAGGTTGCTCACCATCCCTAAGTGGGGTTAGGATCAATCCTTGGAATTGATGCTGTAGCTGATGCACTGCATCTAGCCATCAGTATGCCTGAAGCAGAGAAGCAGTTGCGGCATGAGAGCACTATCAATAATTAAGTCTCATGATGTGCTTATTGGCCTCAAAGCTTCATGCAGGATTGTAGCAAGCATGCAAAGATCACTATAGTAAACGCTGTTGGGGCATGGCTTCGGTTGTTGTAGAATATTGTTCCTTTCTCCATATTTTAGGAAGCATCCGTGAACATATTGTTCTGTATATAAAAACATCTAGAAGGGCAATATTCTTGGACTATGATGGCACTGTGGTGCACCGCTCTTCCATTGCAAACCCCCCCTCGGCTAAATTCATTTACCATCTGAACTGAATCTGCAATGACTCTAAAAACACTGTGTTCATTGTTACGGTAGGGGGCAAGACTCTCTGTGTAAAATGTTTTCGGAATGCCAAATCTCGTATCCAGCGAGCACGATACTTCATGAGGTATATTTTTTGTATATAATATCTACTAGCTTCAAGATTTAGTTTCAGAAAGCCATATTTTTTCTTTTAAATAAGACAGCTGCCTGTTCAAAGACAATATTGTCTTTTTAGATACTGCTTGTTTTTAGTCAAATGAAAGTAAAATTTTGCTATATGACGAAGTGCTTATCTGTTTATTGATTCAATTTATTTCCAACAAGTTTGATTATTTCTCATGTCGTATGGGTTTACTTTGTTTTTTCCTACAGGTGGCCTAGAGATTCCAAATGGCAGATCATC